TGGTTGAAAGAAAAAATCATATTACAATTACCATCGATACGACCTAACTCATTTCTTCAAATCATCATATTTGGATCGTGAATGCTTCAACTTTTTCTGAAAATGATCTTGATACATACATAAGATCTAAGGATCAAAATTCTACAAAGTTTTCAAAGATTCTAGAAAGACTCTTACAAAATTGGATTTATTACAAAATTAGATTTGTGACAAACCCAAGATCTAAGGATCAAAATTCTACAACGTTTTCAAACAAATCTTTGTAAAAACGTCATTTCTACAATCCCAGATCATATTAATGATCTAGGATTTTAACAAAAAAACGTCTCTAAAAATAATCCGTGCAAGAGTTGATAATAGTTTGTAAATGTTACTTGTTATGCAACAATGGAGACAGTGGTTTCCTTGGTGACCCAGCAGCATCATAGAAGTCCATTTTCTTCTCAATGGGACTTCCCTCTTTAGGACACGGACTTGATTTTCGTTTAAGATTTTGCCCCTAAAACAAAAATTACATCAAAAGCATAATTAATCATTTCAGTGATCATGATTATGAGAGAGGGCATTTACGTCTTTTGCATAGACTTGAGATCGAGAGCGAGTCTTGTTAAAATCAGTTCCAGTCTCAGTCCAATGCATGTCAAACACTAGATAACCTGTTATGTTTTGTTCTGTCGTGTCATATCTTGTGTAACAAACTAAACTGGGTGGGTTGCAGTGTGTTACCTTGATGGATTCGCTGCTATGCTTCCCACCAGAATCAAGAATATGGTGTTCTTTTTGGATTAGATTTGTCAACCTCCAGTTTTCTTTGTCTAAGATGTCGTTTTCATCACACAAGACTATAACCTACTCATATCATAATTGTTTAATATTTCAACATTTTCATAACATGTTGAAACATGGTTGTATAACTCGTAACAAAAAGGTGAAATGAGAATACCTCCTCTTCAGCTTTCGTGAGATTAATCCTTAAATGGTCTTTATGTTTCTGCAGCTTTTTCATCTCAGAAGCCACAACCAAAACTACTTGTGTCGAGGGCTTCAACCTACTTTCATTTAAACAATATAGTATACACTATACATGGTTTGTTTTTTTAATTTCTCCATTTAACCTATTTTGAAAAAAAAATGAAATGAGTGGGTTACCTATCCCATATTTTAAGAATCTTTTGTCACACATCAACTCCACTATTCGCCTTCAAAAATGAGTGAGTTGTTGATGCAACTTCATCATTGCTGATCAAAGTTGAGAGCAATGTAACAACAAGAAGATCTTATGTAGAATCGTTGTCTGTTATGTGACAACCCGAAATATTAGGATCAAGCACGGTCTAAATTGTAACCCTATTACAATGAGAACCTTGAAAACCATGAGAGCCTAAGTGCATGTTTATGGAAGTATACACTTTGAAAGTCGCATATAAGGTAATCTCTTAGAAAAATAAACAAGTTAAGCAAGACAAAGTGGTACAAATAAATTGGGATTCAATTTACAATGCAATCAAACAAGGATCACATGGTGTAGACACAAGGACTTGTAATTGTGTCACAATCTTGAGCAATTAAATTATAAGGGCAACATAATTGTATTTTCTATTGATTAAGACCATAAAAACCTTCCTAGGACCCATCCAAGACCACGAACATCTTTAAGAGAAGTACATTTGGCCATGAACACCTTCCTAGGAGGTGTTTTGGGCGTAAACCCCCTTAAAGGGGGAGGTCTTGGCCGTGAACCACCTTAGAGACCCCACTTTGGCCATAAACCCCTCCCCATGACACCTTTAGGCCGTAAACCCCTCCACATGATCACTTTTAGGCCATGAACTCAAAAGAGAAAAGGATATGGAACCGTGAACCCCTTTGGTGGACCATCCATGGGCGTAAACTCCATAAGGATTCCAAACTTTGACCATGAACACTTCCCTATGAGCATCTTGGGCGTAAACACTTGGATATTTTAAGTGTTTACGGTTGATGAGTTGTCTTTTTCCACTTTCACATACAAATCTCAGTAAAACATGTATTAACCATCAATAACAAAGCTTTATCCATCAGTAAACCAAGCAAATATCAAATCATCTCCTATTCTCCCTTTATGAGCGTAAACCCATTTCTCATTCCACCAAAACTCATTTCACATTCTGTGAAGTCTTAAACTGTTCTCAAACGTATTCAAGCTCCAGGTCTTATTTTCTTCAAAGCATCCCCTAGATTCTTATAAGTAACTCATATTTGGTTAGAAATTCTCCATATTATTTTGTTTATTTCACCATAGTTACACAAGATATTATGTGTTAATATTCTTAAGATGTTCCAAGGTTCAAAGAGTTTATCAAACTCTTCAAGTGTTAGGATTTGAACTCCTCATCATCTCTCCAAATCATCCACCAAATCAAACCAAGGTGAGATTTATACCCCTATTTTTAAGTTTTCTTAGTTTTGGGGGAGAATACAAGTCAAAGTCATGTGTGAATCATGATATATTTTCTTATTGTGCATGCATGTTATGTTATATGTGCTTAAAGTTATGAAATTCCATATGAATGGTTCAAGAACTTGAGATTTTGAGCAAGTCTCAAGAGTTTGAACCATATAAAACAAATTTTGTATTAGAAACAAAAACTAGTATGTTTATGAAATATCATTCATAAATTTTTATGTCAAGAATCATAAGGATATGCTTCAAAATTTGCTTAAATAAAGTTGTTGGCTTAAAAGTTTGGGAAGTTGTAAAATTATGGAAATTATATTATTTTGGACCATTTTTGGCCAAAAATAACATATAAGGTCATTTTTGAAATGTTGGCTAAATTTGGGTTCTATAGAACTTTTCAATTTAAAAGGGCCAAAAAGTGGAATTATTTAATAAACAAGGGCCATTTCATACATTTTCTTAAAAATGAGCCTAAAATGTGTATTTTAAAAGAAAATGGCTATTTTCAACAATCCTCGTATTTTTGGATCACTCATGACACTTTTTGACAATTGTGAGTCTTATTTGATAATTTATAAAAAGGAAGGGCCACTTTTGACACGTTGATGATATTGAGTCAATTTTGACAAATATGATTCAAAGTGAATTATTTCACTAAACAAAACGAAACGAAACACCTAGTCAACGAGCACAACTAATGTTATGAAACGAAACGAAACACCTAGTCAACGGGCACAACTAATGTTATGAAACAAAACGAAATATATAGTCAACGAGTACAACTATTGTTATTTATTTAATAAATAACGGATTTCAACGATTTGCATAAACATCTGTTAGTATTCTAGTCAGACGCATCTTCACCGTACCTATATATATTAGTGTACGTTTAAAGTCCTGTAAGAGTTATAACCAGAGTCTCCTGGAGGGAGAGCGGGAATTTGTGTATAGATCTATACGGGGTTGACACCCCGCACCTTCACTGTTCGCTACAGCTAGACAGGCCAGTCTAGGGTGACAAATGTCTTAAACGAATCTGACACCTGAAGAACGTCTAGACCGGCACTCCGTTATATTAGTATGGTTATAACGACTCACTTAGAATATAACAATGTTATTTAGAAATTTACGTGGGAAAACCTTATAAATAAATTGGCACATTGTGTTGACCGCCCCCATGCATGGTAATGATTGTCCACATTCGTTGTGTTGATCGTCCACTTGCATTGTGCGGATTGTCCACAATCGCCTGTTGATTTCTCACACCACTCCAGTCTTAGGGTTTTTAAGAGCACAAACGATTACACACATACAAAAAATATAGGATCTTCTGTGGAAAACAATTTTTATACGATTTCGAAAGTTAATCAACTAGAACACACACATAACTATACTTGATAAGAAAACAAAGCTTACAACTATATTCTTTAGAAAATATGGGACTTTCTGGAAATTACTCATTATTAAGACACCAGGGAACTATTTTTGAGATCACATCTTACTTTTAAGAAAACATGGGATTTTCTGGAAACTACTTGTTATTACGGCTCAAAGGAACTATTCTCAAATACAGCTTGCCTTTATAAATTATAGGACTTTCCAAAAATCACTCTTTATAAAGATGAATAAAAGGTAATGACATGCATGCACATATCCATGGTTTCAGAACGAGACTCCAAACGATTTTATAGAAAATATCGGATTTTCTGAAAGTACAACGAGAACAATTCGAAACAAGTGAAACTATTTTTATACAAAAATGCTTATGAACTCACCAACTTTTTAGTTGACGCTTTTCAAAACGACTTGTATTCTCAGGGATCTAATAAGCAGGTAATCACCACGATCGAGGACTGGCGTCGATGCATTATGTTATTTCTACCTTTTGTTATTTCATGTTTAACTTTTGAACAGAACAAATATTGTAAACAATGTAAGTTTAATATTAATGTATGAATGTTTGCGTTGCTATGTTTCATTTATATACAATTGTTATGATACTCTACAATGACGTCCTCCACCCCCGGACGTTTCCGTCGTTCCGGTTCGGGGGTGTGACATGTTACTTTGTCAACCTTTCATTAATTAACACGTTTATGATTATTATCAAGAGTGACATAACAAAAGAAAACATAATATAATAAACAATGGAATGAAATTTTCCCCATTGATTCATAGCAATGTAGATTTGAAAGAAATTAAGAATTACCTTTTGTGCCTCAAATTGATGCTTATAAAATTACAGTTCTTCTGATAACTTGCTTAATTTGTCCTCCAAACAATGAACACGCAACTCTGCCTGTTTTTCCCTTTCTTCAGCCTCATTTCCAAACTCCATTAAAGCTTCAACATCTTGATCATACAATGAACATTCTTTTTCCCATTTTATACACTGAGTCAACAAGTTACCATACTCCAAGGCCAATTTCTGATTCTCTTCTATAAACTTCTTTACAGCTTGTGCATTCATGCTTGATTCAACCTATGATGGATGGATGATAACAAAAAAATCATTATCAATTATGACCTCTTGGATATGTTCATCTTTCTTTTCATGGTATGACTAGATTACAAAATCAATAATTGAACAAAATATAAACTTTCACAAAAAATATTGCTTATGCTAGAAGAAAAAAAAAGCATGATTTTTTATTTTTTAATAGTATTTTCTGTAATGTTATGTTAGTTATGGAGGTGACAATTTTGACCAGTTTATCTATTTTCTGACTCCTCCATAACATACTCTAATTCAGAAAATCCAATCAAGACAAGGTCAAATAAAACATTGAGAGGATGCTTGGATGTACGTTTCCAAAATGATAATTGCAACTTAAGGAATCGGAATCAAATAATGAGGTGCTTAAGTTTTTCCGATAACAACATTTATCTCAAAATATCCTTTTTGTTATCATGATTTTATCATCAAAATTTGGTTATTTTAAACCAAAATATAATCACAATCATAACGAGTTTACCAAAACAACCAAGTCAAAATAATCATTTTCAAAGGCTCCAAACATCTCAAAACCCTTATATTTTCCAACGGGAGACTGAATAAAATGAATTCACGTGAAAAAAATAAGCGTAAGGGTGCAGAAATCACTAACCCTAGCACCGTCGATAGTTTTATCTTTCTCCATCAATTTCGATTTCAGGTAGAAGCATTGGTCACAAATATGTCTCTGCGCTTCTTCTGACGATCGAAGCTTTAGTTCCAGTGTACGTGTAGATACCAGAAGGCAGAGTGAATACTCTATCGATTCCCGTAAGTAATCATCAATTTCTTGCGGAATATCCATCCTCGAATGTATGCGAATCTCCGTTTGCGTAATTGATCTTGAAATCTCCCGATTCAAAAGGATGGACTACAACTTGAAGATCAAATTTTGCATAAATTCAAAAACACCAAAGACAAGGGTTTTGTGGAGTAGGAACATATTTGAACAATGGAACTTGAGGAGAGTCGTTAGAAGAGAGACTATAAATTTAGCCCATGTACTCTGTATTACATGCTAGTTTTACCCCAACTGAAAAAAGATACTCCTTTGTCTCCCAAAAATAGTGGATATTTTTATTATTTTAGCTCTAGTTGTTATTGTAAATTAAAAACTTAGAAATGTCCTACATTTTAAAAATAGGAAGAATTTCGTATATGCCCTTCCTAAACAGCTAAATATCGTATTTTAAAAATACGAAATTCTCCCTATTTTTAAAATGTAGGAGCATTTCCAAGTTTTGAATTTACAATAATAACTAGAGCTAAAATAATAAAAATATCCACTATTTTTGGGAGACAAAGGAGTATCTTTTTTAAGTTGGGGTAAAACTAGCATGTAATACAAAGTACAGGGGCTAAATTTATAGTCTGTTTTCTAACGACTCTCCTCAAGTTCCATCGTTCAAATATGTTCCGACTCCACAAACCCCTTGTCTCTGGTGTTTGTGAATTTATGCAAAATTTGATCTTCAAGTTGTAGTCCATCCTTTTGAATCGGGAGATTTCAAGATCAATTACGCAAACAGAGATTCACATACATTCGAGGATGGATATCCCGCAAGAAATTGATGATTACATACTGGAATCGATAGAGTATTCACTCGGCCTTCTGGTATCTACACGTACACTCGAACTAAAGCTTTGATCGTCAAAAGAAGCGCAGAGACATATTCACGATCAATGCTTCTACCTGAAATCGAAATTGATGGAGAAAGATAAACTATCGAGGGTGCTAGGGTTAGTGATTTCTGCACCCTTATGCTTATTTTTTTTTTCCCGTGAATTCATTTTATGTAGTCTACCATTGGAAAATATAAGGGTTTTGAGATGTTTGGAGTCTTTGAAAATGATTATTTTGACTTGGTTGTTTTGGTAAACTCGTTATGATTGTGATACATTTTGGTTTAAAATAACCAAATTTTGATGATAAATTCATGATAACAGAAAGGATATTTTGAGATAAATGTTGCTATTGAAAAAACTTAAGAACCTCATTATTTGATTTTGATTCCTTAAGTTGCAATTATTATTTTGGAAACGTACATCCAATCATCCTCTCAATGCTTTATTTGACCTTGTCTTGATTGGGTTTTCTGAATTAGAGTATGTTATGGAGGAGTCAAAAATTAGATAAACTGGTTAAAATTGTCACCTCCATAACTAACATAACATTACAACAAATACTATTAAAAAAGAAAAAAATCATGCTTCTTTTTCGTCTAGCACAAGCAGGATCTTTTGTGAAAGTTTCTATTTTGTTCAATTATTGATTTTGTAATCAGTCATACCATGAAAAGAAAGATGAACATATCCAAAAAGGTCATAATTGATAATGATTTTTTTGCTGTCATCCATCCATCATAGGCTAAATCAAGCATGAATGCACAAGCTGTAAAGAAGTTTATAGAAGAGAATCAGAAATTGGCCTTGGAGTGTGGTAACTTGTTGACTCGGTGTACAAAATGGGAAAAAGAATGTTCATTGTATGATCATGGTGTTGAAGCTTTAATGGAGTTTGGAAATGAGGCTATTGAAAAGGCAAAATAGGCAGAGTTGCGTGTTGATTGTTTGGAGGACAAATTAAAGTTATCAGAAGAACTGCAATCTTATAAGCATCAATTCGAGGCACAAAAGGTAATTCTTAATTTTTTTCAAATCTACATTGCTATGACTCAATGGGGAAAACTTCATTCCATTGTTTATTATATTATGTTTTTCTTTTGTTATATCAATCATGATTTGTCTTTTTGTTGAACATATCCTCCACTTTTGCTTCCATTTCATCCATCTGCAAAAATAATTTTATATTTAAGTAAATAATTTATTTTTATGATATAAGATATTATACAAATTCTAATTAAATTAAAAACCTCAATATGGAGGATTGTAAATGTACGGTTATAAAAAGTGCATGATACACATTGCTACGATTGTTAAAAGAATAGAATTCTACAAACATTATTGTATCCACGATCAGAATTTTATTGTATTTAAATCAAAAACTTAACATCTTATCTCTCAATATTCAAAATATTCAAAAAAAATATTGTGTAATATTTTTTTGTTTGTTATAAACCATTTTATGTTCTCATCTTGTTTAAATTGATGTTTTATGTCAATTTTATAGCAATATACTTTTATTAAAACCATAATATATAAATATGCTTTCATTCACATGTCTTTAAAACAAGTACAATGCCCTCGTATTGACTAATCTA